CGTATCCTGTAAAGTTTTGTTGTACCCAACAAAGTTAGATGAGTGAAAGTTCGCTTTGGTACCTTTGCTAAGTAAGTACGCTTTGCTACGCGTTCTTTTCTCGGGTACTTATGCTACGCATTCATTTTCGGGTAAGTAAAGATATTAGAAGGTATACTAGACGTGAATTCTTCGAGTGGTAGGGGTTGATAGTGCCCGAAAAGGAAGTAGACGTGACGGAATTCGTAGGTCTATCAGCAGGTCTCTCGGTAACGAATAGTGCGAACAGAATCGGTTTCTATACAAGAATGCTTCCCATTTGGTGTAGCCGGGACACTTCGACTATTACGTCTCTCTCACTGATGCCTTCTCCATTGATGGGTAAAAAGACTACGGAAGATGGGCTTTTCCTTTCGGAATGAGTCGATGTGAATCAATGCGATGAGCGGGGTGTCCCCCAACAGGCCCATCGCGCGGCGAAGGAAGAGACGCAGACGCGGCAAAGGACGAGTCGCAGCGCATACTGTAGCGGTTAGGCGTCAGGTTAAATAGAGTGTACCATACTACGTCTCATATCGCACAGCACGCGCTGCGACTCGTCCTTTGCCGCATCTGCGTCTCTTCCTTCGCCGCGCGATGGGCCTCTTGGGGGACACCCGATGAGCGCAACTGTGGTTTGCGTTGATCATTTGGGGAAGGAGCCAAAGCACACGTAACAGGTCAACTAGCGACACAAATCGCGGTATTTAGTCCGGCTCCTTTTATCCCCTGATATTTGTGCTCTAGCCTGCGCTCCCTTGCCCAAATGTGACGTGCATAACTAGGGCCACCCTTAGGGTGATGTGATTGGGGCGGTGCGCTTGCATTGTGACACCGGATGATCACTATTCAGGCGAGACAGCCCAGACAAGTATAGAAAACCAGGTTTGACCGACTAAAACTGTCCGCAAATTTTGTCACGCTCGGACCTGCTGCATGCGTTTTTGTCGCACACCTCCCGCTTTCAGACCGGTGACAGACATAGCTAGTCGCACCATACGTCCGCGCGGTGCATCAGCGTTCGGAGGGAAAGTGGCGAGAGCTCTCTCATTAGCATGTTGACTCTCGCCACTTCCCAGTTTCTCGTGTTCTTCCGAACCTGGAAACGAAATTAGCGAAAGTTGACGTAACAATTAGAGCGACTCGCCACTTTCCCATCTTTCGAATCGCTAGTGCACCGCTCGTACTCCGCAACGCGCTAGCGGCTGTTGGTTCACAGAGTCTCACACTGGCCTTGCGGATGTTCAATCGGCAGTGAATGTCGCAGCGTGCTCTGACGCTCTTAGTCTGGTGTCAGAGTCCGCGATCCGTCGCAGGTTTCGCTTAGTTGCGCGGTTTGCGCTATTAGCGCGACTCACGTGATTTTTGCGACGGGAATCCACTTTGAGGGGAAGCGCTTCTCAGCCGGACCGCACACAAGAAGGACGCATTTTCCATATTTCTTCACTCAATTTCTTCATAATGTTAGTCACCCTTATCACCAGTACACGCAGTAGGCGCCGCGCCGAGTGCCACTACACCAATCTCGCTCAACTGCCTCATGAGTTTCGTTTTCGGGTCCAACAGATCTCCTACAAGTGTTTTCGCTAGATGTTTCAAAATTGGTCAAGTCTCACAAATCTCCTGAACCCAGAGGGCCTTTCTAAATGCATTTCGCATTCCCCTGAGCAGTTTGTTCGACCGAACCCAATCTTGCTGCACGAAAACGATGCAACATGAGTCCATGACCGGTTGATCCAACCAGCTTTCTAAAGTGCTGGCACAATTGATACGCCACCTACAAATTGTTTGAAAACTCGCAGTTGAATAGGATTTCAAAAAAATCTCACCTGTACCTGCGAGAGGGCATAATGAAAATTTGTACTATATATGAAAAGCCTAGTTTTTAATGTGTGTGTGTCACGAAATTCATAGCACGCTTCACTGAAGCAGTGGAGCTGTATTTTCAGAATGGTGAGGGATGTGGGACGGGAACATATTTGATGGAAGACCGAAAGTGATGACAGCTGATAAGTGTAGATAAGAGGCGCTGAAACGCAAATTGTCACGAAATTTGTAGCGCTTGTCTCAGCAGCAGTGGGGCTTTTGATCCAACAAACGATGCAAAAGGTGGGACGGGAACATATCCGGTATATGGACCGATAGGAGAACGATCAGTGCAAGAGCATAGGGGCCCTTGAAAACCATATTAGATTACCGCGATTCATTCCTATGTCACTTCATTTTCGTCATTTTGGCATTGTCATCGTCAGCATTAAAGCAACAGTCCCAGCAGGGTTTTTACCTTCGACACTAATGGTGTGGAACGATGCGCTAGCCCTAGTCAAGAACATAAGAAGTGTGACTGAACAAAAAACTCACCTTGGAAAGCCGCTAGAAAGGGAGCTGAACGGCTTGGAAGTGGCGTGGTTGAATGGGTTGTTGTAACTCCCTCAGCCTGTCCTGGATAGGCTGTGCCCTGTAGCACACAGTCTGCTCAATTTCATCGAAGTTTACCGTGTCATACACGCGGAAGCTGGAGAGCTAAATTGGTGAAAAATCTTCGGAGAGAGAATGGCAAATGCTGTTACATAAAAGAACTGAAAGAACCTCCCTCATTCCATCTGCTTCGGCTATGGGTGGCTGCAACTTGTTTACCAACAATGTATATGTCGTTCATGGCATACATAAAACTATCTCATGATCCTCAATCGAAGTCTAATACTCAACAAACCTGGAAAGAATTGACTCACATTGAACACTTTGACATCAATCTGCTATGGCACCACCATCTGTTAGGTTGTTCGGAAAGTAATGCGGGTTTTCAACCTCTATTTTTGAAGAAGCATATCTCCACTCAAATTCAACATTTTCGATCGTAACAAAAACTTAAATATTTTTCTTAACAAGATGCACACTCAACTGTCCCGCCCATGTGACAATGAGCGCTTCTGTAGGCGATGAAATCATCGAACGTCGTTTCCAGATCACTTTGAACACTGAAGTATTTCTTGCTCAAGAAGCTGTCGGGATGGTTGGAAAAAGTGTTATTGGTGAGCGAGAGGTCCAATGAGTACGACGTGTTGAGCAAAGCTTCGTATGCCAGTTTGTCCAATCTTTGCGAGGTCGTTTATGGGACATGTGGCTGAGCGCCACCATGAAGGAGGGTTTTCGAAGTTGGTGTTTCTAGAGCATCTCATCGGTATGCTGGAGAGACATTGGTGTTGTGTCAAATTCACCTGGTTCCCAAGAGGTGTGGTGCATCAGCCCCGTGGGAGACCGCCGAATGTTCAGCTCAACATTGACCTACTACAATTTCGGCTTTAGATAACTTTTTGAAGATTCATCGCGGTCCAGCTTGTGAAGGGATGGCTTGCTATATTCGTGAACAGTCCATTTTCCATTTTAGATTGCAATGCTTTCCTAATATTCGTGGTTTTCGTTACGTAAAATGGGTGGAAACGACACCTTAGGAATACGGTTTTGCTGCTGCATCGGGTAGCCAATGCGGTAGCCATCTGTTCAGCTTTTTCACCTCCCCAATTATCTTCATGAGACACAATCTTTTCAATATACTTACTCCCAGTCCTACTGCTAACTATAGTGCAGTTGGTCCGAAACCATCTTCTACGGGAACCTTTAGAAGGCCGTCGTTAAGCGGAATCATGCTCATGACTCCCCTCACCTTCACGATGGAATTCATTGAGACCAAAATGTTGGAGCCGATGTTGTGCTGTGCTTTTATTGGTGCTTCCTTGGCCCCATCCTTCAGTGTTATTTCGACTGGTCTACGAAGCACTACCTCAGAGTTTCAGCACATCGAAGTAAACTTGCCAAAATCGCTGTCTTGACACCTTTATTTCAAATCTATAAAAACCCCGAAATAGCAAGCCATATTGAAACTCAAATACACTGAAGGAAAGAAGATACAA